ATCATCGGCCATTTTCACCCTCATATACACTTACTCTTTGCATGTTTCCTTGCTTGAACCCTACAAGAAGCACCGCTTTGCCCACCTTGAATTGGTCTCCCTAATTCTATATAGCACCAATTGCTTACCATTGCCCATTTTTAGAGGCTTTTGGACGATGGTGGACCCAAATTGACGACTCCGCTAATAACACCGCCCAGAGTGAGCGAAGCTCCTCCTATTTTACTTGTGCTCCGTATATTGACCGATCTTAACCCATCCCAAACTTGATCCAGTTCTCCAGTTGATCGCAGATAACCCCGAATTTTGTAACAAACAAGGAAACAACAAATGGACCAACAAAACGTGAAAGCTACTAAGCCAACACCACGTGTGAAATAATAAGAGCCCGAAGTCCAAAAAATGAAACTGCTCCACTTAGATCCACACATATCAGGGAAACCCCTCGACACAACTTTTTTTTCAGGGATTACCATAGATGTTTTGACTCACTGTTTTCCTTCAGGTTCGCCGTTTATAAAATGCCGAAGGAGAGCGGGGACAATTCGGTGCCGGGAATTCAAACAGGGGTTGCATGGTACTACTTGGATTCGAATAAGAAGGGAGCGCTGTTGCCATCCAGCAAAACGCTCGACGATACCGACCAGGTGATTTTCATCTATCTTGGAGATACTCCTCGACATACTAACTGGCTTGACTCGCCCTTTCGCATTTTGTTAATAACCGCACAAGAATAGGCAGTGCTAGTAAGTGTAACAGTGTCATTTTATTCAGGCTATTGCATACACTCTGAACCAATACTACAGCAAAAAATCGGACCCGACCATATTCCATGTCATGTACAATGATGAGGTGAGTTTATACTCGAATTCCTTAGATTTCGGTCCAAGGCGGAGCAAGTTGATATTGCTACCGCTCACAAAGAAAGAAAACTTATCAGCAACGCGCAAGATGGGCGTGCTGGGTGAGGCCATAGGCTGGTGTCAGAGTCCGCGATCCATCGCGCGATTCGCAAAAATCGCAAGTGCCCCATTTGAACATTTGAAACACTGAATATGAAACAAGTAGAATCATGAACAGTCGTCATTCAATCATCACTATCAAGCATAAATTGCTCGGTATTGGAGAGCGACTGACTGTGCGAACTGACTCTGATACCAGCGATAGATAGCACAGCAAAAAGACGAAGGATAGGTCTGCCACCAGGGCCGCATAAAGCTGATTGCGGTTTGCAGCAGGAGCTGACGTTGACTTTTTTATGGAAAGCACGATTTAGGTTCGATGTTCGACGGCACGCAGCTGTCACGGTCGAGGTAGGTCAAACCGCCTTGAACAAAATTGTGCTTGAGCTTCCGTGGCGTGCTACACTCCTGCCGCAATTAACGCGCTGTAAAGCAGTATCGAAACAAGTAATAGTAAGGTAAGGTTAAGAGAGCGTAGCATTCGCGGGGTCTCCCTTCTTGCGCACGAAATGAGGCAGTACAAACGCGATCAACACCTGACAAGATCGAAAACTGATATATCCTTCTCCACTGTTTTCAGGCTACTTTCAAGCAACCGTATTAGGAGTACTTTCATGCACGGAAGTTGATGGCGTATTTTAGAGGTATCACCGGGGCGCAGAGTCTTCTGAAGCAGGAAGAAGTACAAGTATTAATGTGAGAGCTGAATGGAAACAAGGAGTACCGCCATCTAGGAGTTGATTTCAAGCAGTCATGTCATACCTTTTCGCTGCAGATGTCTCGATCAAACGGCAACGCCGCAGGTTCGTGCTAATGTGATTTTTTGCGCTCGGACCAGTGGCAGTAGAGGTTCGAAGTGGCACGATAGCGCAGGAGAAGGAAACTCAACACCGACATAAAAGGGGCCGTGCTCTTTCTGGATGTTTATAATAAAAAGCTAGCTTTGAAAAAAGTAAGTGCGAGCGCTGCGGAGAACGTAATAACGCTAACGAATAGAGCAGCATGGATAAAATCAGAGGGCGAATTCCGGCTAATGACGTCCATATCGATGGGGGGCTGGATCCCCGGCTTTAGGCAGCTAAGCCGAGGGTGACTGTATGGCAGTGCTACACGCATAAACGCCCTATTACACTGAGATTTCGGCAGCCGCACGGCCGGGAGCACCCTGTGGAATGCACTCTTTTGGCGATTCCTCAGCTTAATTCCACTGAAACTAATTAGAAAGAGATAGAGAAGATAACTTCATTTATAACCAAGTTCTACGAAGCCTTTAAAGGAAGTGGGTACGAAAAGGAATTTTCACATCTGCGGAGAACCTGCTCCCCACAGAGCAACTAGCAGGCCGCCAAGGAAGCGATGTGTGGCGCTTGCACTGCGAACAGTGCTGTGGTTGCTGAGCAGGACCATTGCGCCCTTCCGCCCCATGCGCCGCCCCGCCCCATGATTCATCGGTGGCCGTGCGGACGAGCCGTACGTGGGCCAGACCGCAAGAGCCGCGGTTGGGGCCGCCAGCGCCCCCCCTGGCGGTGGTTTGCTGACTCCGAGCACGACGAATTTGCGTAATATCGTCCACAGCGGCACCGTCCTGACAGCTGCGCGGATCTGCGGCCGCACTACCATCTTGAGAGCACGACCAATAAACGGCCAGAAAGGGGCATAACGGCATCCACATTTCCTCGTTTCCGTGAACCGATTTCGCTGGCTTCTCTTCGCCACTGAGCCGTTACAGGTGGACCCCTCGTCCCTCTAACTCCTTTATAAACCAAATTCTCACTGTGCCTTTAACTTTTACTCGATTCATAATGCAGGCAAAACGGTGAGCGCAGAGTGAACGTAAATTACTTGTTGTAAGCAGCACGGAAAGTATTGCCATGTTAGCGGCGTCGCCAGCTGTTGCGCACCTTCTCGTCCAGCACGCTATCACTGTTCCCACAACGAGCACGCGCGATGTAAGAAGGTTTCCATTGCTTTCAGCTCTAATTGGTAGTACCACAACTGACGAGGAGGTTCATCCGTGAACAGGTTGTTCCATCAATTCATAATCGAAAGTTCGAAAAGCCCTTTTTGGCATGAAAATTAAATGGAAGGCGTATTTATATAATGGCTTTAAAGGCAAAGTTCGGGCTCAGACCCACTTAATGAGCCTTTACGGTGGCTAGAAGCGCTAGGTACGCAAGTGTAGAGGTCGCGTCACTTCCCTACTTCGAAAAGCGTTATTTAGACGCTAGGCGCTAAGAACTTTGACACGCTCCACCTGTTGCGACACGCTCCGCCCACCGCTCGATATCTTGTCTGCGTCGCTAACTTGATCTGCTATGCTCTCTCTAGACTTCTCTAGCGCTCTCCGCGCTCACATTATCTCTCATCTCCCTGCCGGCCTTTTGAACTTCTCCGCAGCGTAGAGCAAAAGGCTCGTATTTCCTGTGTATTTCACGATTTTTTCTTTTTTCTCCACTGGCGGTCCACTTCCTACCCCTACTTTCACATTAAGTCATAATTTATTCCTGAATCTTGCCTTTAATGTCAATCAGTGTTAACATTACTTACATCTCGGATGCGTGCTTCATTTCCAGCCCTACAATAGTACCTCTGCTTCATTGCTTGAAATGCTGACGTCAAACCGTGTGCACCCAGCCTGCCATACAGTTTGGTCACACAAAAGGTGAGAAATAATTCAGTTTAAAGGTTGATTGTGCAATTTCTCCGTCCACAAATCAACAGCGCTACCTCAGCTTTCTATGCATTGATTTTCTTCTATTGAAGCTTCTCTATCAAGTTCCATGTATTTTCTTCAGGTATCAAATGTCTTCGATAAACTGACGCATCAAGTGTTGACTTCCGAGCGATTTTATCCTTTTGTGATTCACAGCGTTCCGAAGTTCCCACCACCGGATCACTACCAGTACCCAACCAGCGGACACGACTACGGTCAGACAATGTGGTGCCTCTCCCTCCCGTATTCTCAACTAGAAAAAATAGGTGAGGTGGCGTAACAAGATTCCTTTTTCGCGATTGCTAAAGAAAATAGGTGAAATGTACAAATTCACGGACTCGGAAGGAAGTCGTGAAAATTCGGCCTCCATTTGTTTTAGCCCTTCCAGCTTCTGATAAACATCTTCTTTAAGCCACTCAACTTTACTACAACAAGCCTGACATTTATTCTTCACAATTGCCGGTAAAAATGGCGGCTGACTATCCACTGTTATCAAAGGTGAGCAGTGTTTCCTTGAGGCGCTTAGCTCATATCGATGATGCGATGTACCACTCTGGCTACTTGACTAATGCCCTTGTTTAGTTTCACTTTTTCACTTTTGACCAACTTACTGTCTCTATCCACAGAACCCGATGCAACTAATATGTTTTTTTAGCAGTTTTTGTGGGTAAAAAATGACAGGGGCGAACGTTCTTTAGGGGCTCTGCTACCATGCGCATGGTCGTGACATCAAATCCTGGATCATATGTAGTCGTCCAGGATAAGAAAGCATTCCATGCTCTTCCGAGATCGGCTCATTGGTACCTTAGTCGCTTGGCTTGGGGTGGGGAGGGTGGAATGAAAACCCTGACCCGTACATTGCTAACGTACCATTAGCTCTCACAATAATTAATGTTTTCCAATCGAAATGAATTGTTAATACATACAGAAAAACTTTTTGTAAAATTGGGTTCCGGAGCAAATTCAATTTCAATCTCTGGTGCAAATATAATATAATAAAAGATAACGATTTTTTTCCTTGTTGAAATTTGGTAAAACAGGTGAAATAAATGGTGAAATAGGTGAATTAATGTATAATACTATTTGAAAAAAAATGTCAAAATGGTGCCCGACATCGAAATAAAATCATCGATCTTGAGTTCAGGTGATTGCCGGACAATACAAGCAGGGTGAACCATATTCCAGTACCCTCACCCTGACCACTAAAGGCGGAACGAATTTCATCTCATTTGCGAAGACCAACGAGTTCAACAATGGTAGGGTTTGAGAGGACTTAATCAATCAAAATTTGAGCTACTTCTCACTGTTTTCATTCCAGATCTCTATGACGGTATTGTTGCCCCATATTTGAAAGCCGACCTCATCGCTGAGACTTGGCGCCGAGGTTCCGAGGTTCGCTAGGTTTACTGTTCTTCTCTGCGAGGTTCACTCTGAATTCAGTCATGTCAATTAGGCAACGTTGAGGGCGTTTTCTCCCTAGAAATGTATGGTATTTAGCGCCAGAGCATACGACTGATTTTGAGATAGTCAAAAAATTGCAAATGAAAACATGAAAAAATCATAGGGAAGAAATGAAATCCACAACACAAAGAAAAATGATTGCCTTCATCCAGGTTATAAATTGCGTCTAAAGCTCAATTTTGGTCACTTGTACTTCAGTAAAGTGAATCAACCACCCAATTATATCTTCGCAGGTGGGAGCGACGATGGAGTTCAAATACACAAAAGATCATTCGAAACTGGCGCGATCGACGGATTCGACCAGGCCGTGGGTCTGCATCGGCGACGTCAACCGAATGGTTTGTTTGTTACCCTCTGTTGAGACTCTTAAGCTCAGCTTCTGATTCGCTTTCGAATCTCTCGTCCCTAGCCCATCAATCCACTAATATTTCGAAGTTGTTTCCATGTCATTGATCGCACAATAGAAAAGTCCAGAAAACTGATTTTTGATTGAAAATTTCAATTTTAGCTGTTCTCAGGTCGTCATGAATGAAACTTGCTAAGGAAAAGTTTGAAGTCATACTGTTGATGATCTTTCCGTGTTCATTTTCGCTCTGTTTCAGACCACCCAATACATCCGCGGTGGCGGCACGACATGTCTTTCGAGTACGTTTGTCTGGCAGGCGTTCAACGTTATAAAGGACGAAAACAACTGCTAAATCATGAATAAATGGTTTCTCGAGCGATTTTTTTAGTGAAACCTTATGAAAACCAGGCTGGTGTCAGACTCTGCGATCGATAGCTAGCGAATCGCGCGACTCTTTAGAAGTTGTTCACTAAGGCTGACACGTGTCCTATCAGAGAATGCAGATACTATGTATTACACATAGACGACTTCACATGTATTAACCTAGTCTTCATCTCGCCATAATCGCCCATTTACCACGGGCAGCCACATTATGATTAACAAATACAGTACTCGCCGTTTGAAATCGAAAATTCACGCGAATAACGCGAATCCTCGTTAATTTCGTGAATTCGTTATAACTCGGTTCAAAATTGAGCTTTCGAGAATCCGAAGATATCTTTGAATTCAGCTCGTCGGACACTATAAGAATGCTTTGATACTTTGGAAAAGCTCCATATAGGATTGCGCCATGCACTCGATTTTCATCTCAAAAAGTAGTTGCTCGCATGTGATGTGTATATAATCCCGCTTATGCGGGCTGACCGCTACACACAGAGAAGGGCCTCAAAACTTACCCCAGAATGCGCCACGTACTCAATCTCATCCACTACATTGTGAGATTAGATGAATGTTATTTTCCGAATTCTTAGATCTTCATTTCGTTTTTAAGCGCAAAGTGGGACGCGATACCGCGTCACGCTGTCGTCAACATGTTAAACGAATTTTTCGGTAGACGGTGGGGTAGCAGGGCTTTTTTATGAACAGTTTTGGGGAGAATTAAACAACCTTTTCATAGTTCGGCTTTTGAAGAGGGTTGTTTCATGGACTTCGGCCTCGGCGGAGGGGGGGGGGGGGGGTCGTATTTCCAAATTTTCCTCGACGCCTCGCTTGACCCTGCTCTCTCCTCCAGTCATTAGCCGAACGCAAGTTCAAAATTCATTTTCTCACTGAAAACTCTGCGAACTTGTCGCATAGAATGTAATGGGTTCCGCGACAGTAGACTGAGGACTGTTTGAATGAATTTCATCAGATAGAGTATTTGGGAGTGTTGGGTTCATAGTCGTAGATGGAGATTCATGACCCGGCACAAATTTCCCTCTCATTTACGCAATTCTATAACAGCACACAGTCTGATGTTGGAAATCGAATTAGTTGGTCAAGGTCAAGCATAAACTGCAATTTTCGGAGTCAGTGTTACCCCTCTCCTTCCCAGAATGATATTGTCTGGTAGATCAGCAATTCTCTTTGATTCTTTGAAACTGCATAATTTTCTTCACAATGTTTTCCTGAAGATCGGCATCTGACCCGATTAAAAATCAAACAGAACTCGAAAATTCGTCTCACATAAGATGGAAACCATCTTGAAAAACGACCATTTTTTCGGGTCCAGTACATATTGAAGTGAAGTGGGTTTTTTTATCCGCAATATGGCTCGGCTTATACTGTAACAGAATGACATCACTTTTCAACACTTCTGAATACTCAAATCCCACTAACAAGGAAGGTGCAATCCTATGAAGATTCCAAATTGCAGCCTTGCACTCTGCTTCCGGCCTTTGGAAAGCTTTCTGAACACAGGAGCGCCAGATATAAATGTGATTACGTGCGCAAAAATATTAAAACTCATTACGACTGTGTGATGCCATAATCACAGGTGATCCATATGAAGAGCTAACCCCGCTCCCTCTTCCCACCCTCCACAAAACTGCGATGAAAAGGTTGCTCAGAGAAAATTGGCGCTAGCTAGAGGGTAAGCGAGTTTCAAAATAGCCTGTGATAAGGCGCTGAAGGTCAAAGCGATTCGATCCTCAGACACTTCTCACTCTGAAACGGTAAATATCTCCGAAAATTTCCTTCTACTTCCACCATTTCAACCCATTTTTTACCTATACTCCCACTACTTCCTTTTCTAGGGGGGTATACGCCCGCTGAAACGGCAAATTTTTATCCTGCGCCCTCCACTCGCCCAGCCTACTACCCACGAAATCTTAGTTTCACCTCAATCCCACACGTGATTTCGAGCGACTAAAGTGGGTACGACCCCCCCCCCTACAAGCTAAACCAAGTACGACCCCCCCGTTGGTACTTGTACCAACGTAGGGTTGACCTGCTTTCACGCACTGAACGTGGAGGAAATGATAGTTTCAGAGAACGGATAAGTATAAGGATAAAGCATTTGCCGTTGATTACTCAACGTCTATTTCAATACCTAAGAAGGCTCAACATGACAGATTATTCATTCATCCTTTTCCTCGCCACATCCATGATCAATCCCTTCCTGGGATGCGGCACGCATTCTACTTCCATTTGTACATTCGTAGTGGCGTTTGAATGCGATGTGGCCTATACAATGACTTGCGGGGGCCAGCCGATGTACAAGTCAGTGTTTTTATCCTCCCAGACAAGTCTGGTACCAATTAACCGACCCCGGAGGGATGGAAGGCTTGGTTGGCCCGGGCGACTCACGACCCAGGATTTGATCCCCGGACCGCTCGCGTGGTAAGCGTGCCACTTGCCACTACACCTTCCGCCCATAAAGAATGGATATAGACGAGTAATATATATATATATATATATATATATATATATTTATGAAACTATTTATCGCCATCATTCATTTTTTTTATCAGTACACTGTAACACGACATGGAAAGGTGTAACTGGCCTGTTCAGCATCTTACGTGCAGGGATGCCGGAACAGTGATTAACTTAGGCAGAACATATCCATATTAGCGGTTAACTCGTCTCTCAACTCAAGCGTCTAATGAGGTGTCCCTTTCTATGGGTCTCCACGGCATTTCATTGGTTCTCTTTCCACAGAGGCACCATTCGGCACCTCTACCTTCACATTTCAGCCTTACCATTTACCGCAAGAGATGCCTCCAAACAGAGTGCGTCATCAATTCACGATAAAGAGAGATAGAGATAAAAAGTGACGTTCTGAAAAATTTGAAGGTCGCTGGTGTTCCACCAATACTGTGTCGGCCACGACGAGGAGCAGGGACAAATGGATCGTCGTTTTCTATTGTTTCACCAACCCGTCACCCCAACCCGAATCGACATCTGCAGCCTCTTTCCTCAATCCGTTCGCCCTTCGGCACCCTTTTCATCCCTAGCTCTCTCCGTGTCTCCTCCACTCCTCTCCTACACCCTTTGACCCTTCCCATCCTTTTTAACGATGAATACCAAATCCTGACCTATCTGTTTTTGAAACGATTCCTTCTTGCGAAATATCTGTGCATGCATGTGGAAATTTGTAACTTACCGTATAACGATCGTTCAAGTTTTCACTCAGTCATAACGGAAGCCAACAAACAAGTACTTCTTACAAATTCTCATACCTTTTGTTTTGCTGCTTGTGGCAAAATGTAGTAGCAGGAAAAGGGCTAGAAAAAGCGTTGCTTTGCTTATGACGTGCTAGTAGGAGTCGAAGTCTCTAGAAGCGAGAAGAAAGTAGATGGGGATTCAGAATGAATGCTTCGGAAATGTCCCTTTACATGAAAAAACAAGCACCTGTCCATTATTTTCAAAATGAGAACCGCCGTGTAGCGTCAACACATTCAAGAATTGTCTGACCATTTTGCCGTATCTCAGCGGCAAGCACCGCGCCAGTTTACCCGGTCTCCTGACTGCCTCAAGATCGGCTTATAAATCTCATGGTAAACTCCCCACCCTTTCCTTGCTTTTCTCCCAGGTTTTCCTAGGTCGCTGCACTGTCTCTGAGCGATTTATATAGTCGGCGTCAAACCGTGCCCATTCTGCTACACACTCCGCCCACCATTGGATGTTCGCTTCTTCCCTTCATTTGACTTTTTTTTCGGTTTTCGGGACCACTTGAAAGCGAGTTAAACGCCTGACAACAGACTTCTCCCACTTTGGATGAATGCATAAAAACCACATGCGTGCATGAGAACTAACCATAAAAATTTACTTCCCTTCCATCGCCGGCCTCTATCCACTTTTCGGTTTCCGGAACCCGTGGATCGGATTGAACACGTCGGCAAACCCCCCCATGGCAAAAACTTTGCCCACTTTGGGACATGCCCTGCCCACCAAGGGCAGTCGACCTTCTTCCCATCGCCAACCGCTATCCACTTTTTCCCTGGTTTCGGGACTTTATGGAATCGAACTATAAGTTCGAGGCAAACTCCGTCCACCTTAGGACACGCCACACCCACCAACGGCATTTTTCGTTTTCATTGTCAGGCTCGATCCACTTTTTTCCCCGGTCTCCGGACTTTGTGAGATCGAGTGGATATTTTTCGTGATGGGG